TTTAGACGCTCAAGCAAATATTCCTGACAGGAAAGAGTTGAAATGTAATGGTGACTTATGAATGGAGAATTACTGAGTGTGAACTTTTATGCCCTCACTTGACACGATGAGTTAAGACCAGACCCTCCAAATCCAGGCCAAGACTAGACCCCTTGAGACCCAAACGCACATCAGAAATCAATAAAAAAAAAGAAGAAATTCTCCACCATACATTTAAAACAAAGAAGTTGTCCAATTGTTTTCCAAAAACAGAAATCTTTTTCTTTTTGTCCTTTTTTTTATTTTACACCAAAAACATGTTTTCCTAACGAACATAAATGAAAGCACAATGCTATCATACAAGTTTCAGACATGTTTTTCCATTCTGTTTCACAAGGGTTTTTTTATTTCTTTGAACTAACAAATAAAGTACCACAGTACTTTTTGAATTTACTCTATAATAGTATCAAAGTTACTTTAAAAAGTGCATGTCGTTTCTATTTCGTCAGTGTATTTAAAAACAAAATTAAAAACCTCACCCTTTTTTCCATAACATAAACCTACAGAGAGCATGTGATGTACGAAACTTCAAAATATACTGGTACTGACCCGCCATGGAAGCAGCCCAGAAGACATGATCTCATAATGTAACATTCAAGATTGTGATGATTCACAGTTTCCCAAGATTGTGATTCCTGTGTAAATAGATGTATGCCACCATTAGATTTCTGTTCCCCATTAAAACATGAAAAGTCTGCGTATATGCCACTTCAGAAGCATCTTCGGTCCCACTTTATATTAGGTGGCCTTAACTACTATGTACTTACATCAAAAAAATAAGTACAATGTACTTGTGTTCAGTTGTGTTCATATTGTATTTTAAAACACTTTTGCTGCTATTCAGGTGGGATACATGTAAGGTTAGGGACAGGTTTGGTAGGTTTAATGGTGGGTTAAGGTGTTAGAGATGGGCCAACAGTGTAATTATACATGCAGGTATTTTTAAAATACAAGTACAATGTAAAAGTATGTATGCACACTTTTGTAACTATGGAATCTTTAAATGCATGGACTTCTCAGTAAAAACAAACAACAACTTTTGTCAGTTAGCAAAAATCTTTACCCCAGTGAGAATTAGGACTCAAACCTGTTCCCCTTTGCAGATCTCACAGCTTGGAGATGTAATATAGCTGTATGCCTTTGTTTGTTTGCCGTTAGCTGTGGGTTAACCAGGAAAATACAGCCACAGAATCGGCTGAGGGTGCCGGCGAGGTACAGAACGGACACAGCGACCCCAGCAACGGCTGTCTGTGCATCGGCCAAGCGCTGCAGAACCGAGACCAGATGAGGGCCAACGTCATCAACGAGATCATGAGCACTGAGCGCCACTACATCAAGCACCTGAAGGACATCTGTGAGGTACCATGGAGCGATCACAGGGACAGTTCAGCCCAAAATCAAAATTCATGTCATCATGTCGTTCCAAACCCATAGGACGTGCGTCTTCAGTACACAAATGA